GGACAGTGCGCCCGGACCGACGGCGTGCGTGGGAGGGTCGGAGCGCGGGGCGGGGGCCGAACGCGTGGCGGGAGTAGGGGTCACTCCGTTACTTCTTTATTTCCTTAGCTGCATTTTCTAACACTCTATGATGCACTTGTGCTACATAATAAAAACAGAACATGCCCTCGACGATCAGAGATGTGTGTCCACCGACATGGAAGCGAAAACGTGGCACAGGACAACTGAAGTCCCAACTGTTGGGGAAACAGACTCATTTTTCTATGACAGAGTCAGTCATGACTCACGAGGCGGTCGGTGGCCCCCGAGCGGGAATCCCACCGGCCGACGGCAGGAGACCTGGGTTGTCTGCAGGACCCAACCGCGTTTCTTGCTCCTAAGACCGGGCTGGGTATCCTGGTCCTGGTGACGATTGCAGGAACACTCAGAGGGGCTCACGCGCTGCGTTCAGACACCAAACAAGGCGGGTCTGCCAGCCTGGGGCAGGGAGGGGGCCCAGCTAGGAGCCCTCAGTGTCCGTGTTGTCGCTGCCAGTGGTGGTCTCCCTGTCCGCCTCCCTCTGTCGCCAGCCGTTCTGCATCTTCCTGAGGGCCCGCTTCCTGTGGAGACACAGACGTGGCAGGTATCTACAGGCCCAGCTGCCCCCTCCGTAGCCAGCTTTGCGAGAGCTTGGGGACCCCTGCCCGCCCACCGCCCCCATCAGGCCCACCTGCGGTAGTTCTCGAAACTCTCTTTGAGGCGCCGCCGCTCCTTCTCGGGGGGCTCCCCGCTGCTGGTCAGGCTGGTGTCCTGAGAAGGGGGAAGGCTCAGGGCCTAATCAGCACCCCTGGACAGGACCCCACCCTCCTCACAGGCACACGCCCTCCCCAGGCCCCCAGAACGGGACTGGTGGGGATGGGAGCCCAGGCAGTCTCAGCTCAGCTCAGCATGGAGCCAAGCTCCCTGGTGAGGTGAGCCGCATGGGTGTCCTGCCCTTCAGAGGACATGAGGGATGCTGGGATTATAGCTGTTTGGACTGGGCCAGGAAACGGCTCTGGCCTGGGTGCCAGATCACTGTTCCTTCTACTACAAAGCCCGGGTGGCCCTTGGCTATCAGGATACCTTTGTCAGCTGCAAAAGTCCCGAAAAAACCAGCAACAGGCATCATGCATGGTTGCCCCCCAACATGTCCACCCCCAGGTCTACTCATCTAAGCAGGGAGGGAGTTACATCCCATACACCCCACCCTAGGAGCTGGGGGCAGAGACCCTGTGGTCACCCCCTCGGCCATCTGGGGCCACTGGGGAGGGACCCAGGACAGAGAACCACCTCCCCCATGATCAGTCCCCCTGTGGGACCTCAGAGAGGCCTTACATTGGGGGTCAGTGAAAGCCGTTCCTTCTGCAGAGCCACAAAGGGCTGCTCCGGGCTCTCCCCGTCAGCCAGGCCGCCTGGAAGGACAGTTGTGCCTGTCGGGCCTGCCCACCTGTGGGGCCACCCACACTTGGCAAGGTTGCCCTTCCCCCACCTCTCCCCCCAGATGCTCCCCACAGTACCCGTCTTATTATAAGGGCTCATAAGACCCCCATGCGAGTCCAGTGAAGACTTCGCATATTACAGACAAGGAGACTGAGGCCTCCCAGGAGGAGGCCACCTGGGACCAAGTGGACCATGGACCGTCCACTCCTCCCGAGCTGGCTGTCCCCAAACTACTGAGGACAGGCAAGCAGGAAGGTCTCTGGGCCACAGGAGATTCTACCCACTTAAGCCCCAAGCCAGGCTGGCCTCTCCCTGGTCACGCAGCAGCTCTGTGGTCCTGCTGGCTTGTGGGGAGTGGGGTGGGGATGCCCCGGGGCAGGCCCACGGCAGCGGCTGGGAGCCAAGCAGCGAGGCTCCTAGACCCCCTCAGAGTCTACCAGGGCCTGGCTGAAGGTCTCAGCTGCACTGCGGGGAGGGGCCAGCCAGCCTGTCCTGGCCATGCGACAGCCCCTCCTTAGAGCTGACACATCCCCTGCTCGACCTCCAGCTTTCACATCTGTCCCTGTTCCTGCCAGGGCCACCCCCGTGGTGGGAGCCTCCTAGTTGGCAACTCCCGGGTCCTGACCATCTCGTGCCCACATGGGGGCTCAGCGTCCTCAAGTTCAGTTTTTTGGGGCTGCGGCCGATGGCCAGCCCGTCACTTCTCCATCTGTGGCCTCTTCTTCCTCTTCTGCCTCCGCTTGGAGGCTGGGGTCAGGCCTGACACTGAGGAAGTCTGTCTGACTTCCCACGCAAGCTCCCAGGGCCCCGGCCTCAACCCCACGGACACCTGCATTCAGAAAGAACCCCTTCCCCTGTCACCATCCAGCCCTCTTTCCAGGTGGGCAGAGGGGGCCTGCCCCACCCACAGGAGTCCCCCACAGCCCTGTCACCATGGACAGTCCCTTGTTGCCTCCTCACCCCTGCTGTCCTTCAGACACAGGCCCTCAGCTGCCCCCACACTCAGTCCTGTCCCTCAAGCCACGAGGGGCTCTGGCCCTACTTTCTAGCCTCTGCACCTGGGCATTGGTTTGGGGCAGGAAGGAGGGCCAGTGGCTCGCTTCTGCACCCACTGACCAGGGCTGCCTGGATGGGCCACCCCCTGCTCACCCCACAAGGAGGGGCGTGTCCTTGCTGTGACACAGGCCCCACTAACCTGAGCCCTGGGTTCTAATTGAGCTCTCTAGTTCCTCCCTGGATGGCCCTGACCAGCCTATGTATACCCCAAGCCTCAGTTTTTCCATCTGTAAAGTGGGGGTAGTGACAATTGAGACAGGGAGTGTGTGCCCAAGACTGGCCACGGAGCAGGGCAACCAGCCTAGGGGGCTCTGAGTACACACCCCTCACCTCCTCACCTTTGTCTAAGAGCTGGGCATCCTCCAGGTCCTGGGGGAGCGAGAGCTTCCAAAGAGAGGTGGGTTATTCCGTCAGATGGCTCTGGGAGCCACCGCCACTGCTCCTGGGTCTGGACCTGACCTGCCCCCCTGCCCACCTCTGGCTCCTGCTCCTCAGCCAGGCATGACCACCACTGTCAACCCCTGTCCAGAGCTTCTCAGAGACTCAGGTGTCTGGCCAGGCTGGGGCAAGGGAGTCCAGGCATAAAGGTCCCGCCACAAGGGGCCAGGAGGTGGATGCAAGTAACAAAGGCTGGTGATGGGAAGTGTGGACAGTTAATAATAAGAGAGGATGGTAAAAATCTCCATACTCACACTCAGAATAGTGCCTCCCTGCCCTGTGTCACCTCCCAAGCCTACATCCCTGGCGGGGAAACACTCGGCCTATGCCTCATTTTGCCCCCAAGTAAAGGGAGGCCTCAGTGTTCTGCCACCTGCTTTACCCTCCGACCGGCCCAGCATCAGGGAGGAGGGGGACGGACTGGCCCACGAGAGCAAGACCGGCCCAGCATCAGGGAGGAGTGTGGGGTGAGCCCCAGGGGAAGGCCAGCTTGCACCCCCCCAGAGGTCACACTCACTTCCTGGGAGTTCCTGGGTGAGCCATCCTCCAGGTCAGAGCTCTGTCGTTATAGAAAAGGGTTGGTCAGCATTTCTATGGGGGGGCATAAGCTGCCCCCAGGTATGGGGCATCAGAGCACAGTGAGGGGTCCTCCAGGGAGGCCCTGGTCACCTGCTCAGCTGCACCTGGCCCCTTGCCAGATCCCTTACCCAGCACATCCCTCCCTCTCTCTGCCAGGGTGCCCATGGGTCCCATGGTCCCATGGTTTCTGCTCAGCCTTGGGCCCCGTCTATACCCCTCACCCCACACTAAGGAGGGGACTCAGTCAGGATGAGCTCCCCAGATAGAGGAGGAAGGTGTCAGGAAGGCCCAGGAAAGCCAAGGCTGCCAAGCTAGGACGGGACTGCCTGGGGGCTCAGGCCTCTCCTACCCTGCCCCACAGTCCCCACAGTCCCCTGCTGCCCACCAGGACAAGGGTCTCCAGTTGCATCTCCAGCTGCTGCCGCCTGAGCCTGCCCTCCGCAGCCAGCAGCTGGGCCTCGCCCTGGGACAGCTGCAGCTGCAGCTCATCCACCTTCTCGCCCAGCTGGCGGACACGCTTGCGCAGCTCGTCCTTCTCCTGCAGGCTCCGCGCGTGCTGCGCATGCAGCTCCTCCCGTGCCGCCATGGACTAGGAGGATGACAGAGTACAGTGGGTTCCGAGTCCTCCCAGGGCCCAGGGCCTTGGGCCCAGCCGCCTGACGCCCAGCAAAGGTCCTGGTAGGATAGGGGGTGGCACCGGCCTCAAGGCGCTGGGCCCCGAGGGGACCCGCCAGCACCAGCCACTTCCTCTTGGTGGCCTGTGGACGTGGCTGGCACCAGCCACTTTCATTTGGTGGCCCGTGGATGTGGCCAACATGCAGGAGATTGTACAAGCGACAAAGGCTGGTGAAGGGAAGTGTGGACAGTTAATAATAGAAAGAAGATGACAAAAATCTTCACACTCACACTCAGAATAGTACCCCCAGCCCTGTGTCGTCTCCCAAGGTGACATCCCTGGGAGGAAGGGGACACTCAGTCTGTGTTATGCCACCACACATAGGGCATGCATTTTATAGACTTGGGACATAGCTTGATATCAAGAACAGGATTGTTAATGACTGTGTGAGATTCTTTAAAATGAACGCACACATTTTGTCACCCCTGCCCCCACTGGGGACGCTGAGGTGGAAAAGAAATCATGCAAAGAGAAACCAGCCTGATCATACTCAAGGACAGAGCTGGGACCCACCTGCAGCTATCAATCACCCCTGCAGGCAGTTGGCCCCAGGTGGCCAAAACGTGGCCAGTAACTGGCTGCTGCCCTAATTTTGGTCCCCATTTCTGACTTAGGATGGGGTAGAGAAAGCCAACACCCCCCACACCCCAAGCAGTCCTCACCTTGGAGAGCCTCCCTAGTCTCACTAGGACACAGCTAGTGCCCCCCTTTTTCCCAGTGGAGTTTCCCCACTCTGGGGTGTGTCCCACGCAAATGACGTGGCACCCTCTGGGGGGAGTGGTCTTCCCCTGCAGCTCCCAGGAGCCCACGTTTTTTGTTTTGTTTTGTTTTTAGTTGGAGTCTCACTCTGTCGCCCAGGCTGGAGTGCAGTGGCGCACTCACAGCCACCCCAGTGTCAACCTGCCGGGTGCCGGCGATCCTTCCACCTCAGCTGTCCAAGTAGCCGAAACTACAGGAGTGCACTATCACGCCTGGTTAATTTTTCATTTATTGTTGAGACAAGGTCTTGCCAAGTTGCCCAGGCTGGTTTCGAACCCACAGGCGCAGGCAAATCACTTGCCTCAGCCTCCCAAAGTCCTGGGATTACAGGCTGTGCCACCAAGCCTGGCCCCTACGTTTTAAGCTCCTGCTACGCATGGCCAAATATCCTTGAGCATCTCAAGGAGGCAGCAGTCACATCGATTAGGCATCACATGGGAGACGGTGAGGCGGGTACATCCCTGCGCTGGACGCTCCATCCTGTTCACAGGAATTCAGCTGGTCAGGGTGCCCCCTACCCCCTGCTTTTGTTTTTAAGGTAAAGAAGTTCTTTGGCAAACAAGACAGATAGAAAGTTTCCATTTTTATAAAGCAAAAAACAAAATGATATGTATATTGAAAAACGTGTGGCCAGTGGGATCTGAAGGTTGACCATGGTTTCCCCTAGGAGCAGGCTGGGGTGGAGATGGGGAAGGGGAGTGTTAACTTCATTATCATTACATGTTTAAAATGAGCACATACTACCTTTGTCATTTAAGAAACTCTCTGGGCTGGGTCCAGTGGCTCATGCCTGTAATCCCAGTACTTTGGGAGGCTGAGGTGGAAGGATTGCTTGAGGCCAGGAGTTTGAAAGTAGCCTGGACAGTAGTAAGACTTCGCCTCTATCAACAACAACAACCAAAATTAGACAGATGTGGTGGCTCGTGCCTGTAGTTCCAGCTACACGAGAGGCTGAGGCAGGAGGATCGCCTGAGGCCAGGAGGTCCAGGCTGTGATAAGCTGTGATCCTGTCACTGTATTCCAGCCTGGGCAACAGAGTGAGAACCTGACTCAGAAAAAAAGGAAGGAAAGAAAAAAACACTCTGACGACTGCCCCCAGAGGCCACCAAATTGGCATGCCCACGCAGACACGGGGCAGCTTTGCCATCTTTTTGAGTGCCTACCTGGTCCCGCTCGATGGCCACCTCCTCCAGCTGCTGCAGGATGGCCTCAATGCGGTCCTTGTACATCTTGGAGTCCTTGCGCAGGGCCAGGCACTGCAGCTCAAACATCTCCTTCTCCTCCATGCACTGCAAGGATGACGGCTCAGCCCCACAAGCCCAAGGCCCTCATTCCGGCCCCCGGGGTGGACTCGGGGTGGGAGCTCAGGGACAGACACAGCCAGGCTGACTGGGACTCAGGGGAGGCTACGGGAGTCCCTGGGTCCCTGCCAGGCCTGTGCTTCCAGCCAGTAGCAAGACAGGCCCGTGCCAGAGCCACCACGAGCACAGCCACCGTTTTCCCTCCAGCACCGTGAGCCTGGAGACTAGCCTTCACCACGAGGAAGGCGTGAGCACCACGGACAAGGAATGGGCACCAGATGGCAGGGCTGCCCACTGTCCTTCCAGGAGCCAAGGTCTCAGCACCCACCCGACTGGCTGGCCCCTCCTGCCATGTGCTCCTGCCCCCAACCATACCCGGATGCGCAGGGCCTCGCCCTGGCGAAGGTCCTTGCGCAGGGAGAAGATGGTATTGGCCTGCTCCTGGTGGTCCTGCAGCGCCTGCCGCCAGTCCTCCTCCAGCACCTGGATGTAGGGGCTGCTCCTGTCCAGCTTCCCCTCCTGGAGGAGGCAAAGAGCAGCAGCCTGGCTGGGAGGGCCGCACTGCCCTGCCTGGGCTATGCCCACTCTTCAGTGGGCCCCCAAGCCGTGGTGCCGGTGCCTGGGCTGTGCCCGCGCCACGCCCTCCGGGATGGAGCCCACCCTCCCGCAGCACACCTGGGCCAAAGCCTCCAGCTCCTGCACCCGGGCCTGCAGTACAGCGTTTTCCTGCTGCAGCTCCCACAGCCGCTCCTGGCTGGGCCGCTGCTCCATGGCGTGCCGCAGCTTCAGCGTGTGCTTGCGCTCCACCTTGCAGTCGTCCTCCGCCTTCATGAGGCTGTGCTTGAGCCGGTCGATCTGCGGATGACTCCGTGAGCCCGGCCATCCCGCCCCGGCCTGTGGATCCCGCCGGGCCCCGCGAGGGGGCGCCCCTGGTTCCCAGGGCGGGAAGGCACCTCGAGTTGCAGGTCGCGGTTCCGCATGAGCGCGGCACCCTTTTCCTCGCTCTGGCGCGCCAGGCGCATGGCCAGGTCGTAGTTCTCGCCCTTGCAGCGCTGGAGCTCGCGGGCGCCGGCCTCACACTCCTCCTTGAGCTTCTGCACGCGCTCCTGGTGCCTGCGCAGGAGGCTGTCCTTGACCCGCAGCTCCTTGATGAAGTCGTCCTTGGCGCTTAGCAGCGATGTCAGGTCTTGCACCTTCTTCTGCAGCTTCATGACCTCTGTCATGAGCAGCTGCGTCAGGCCGGACTCCCCGGATGCATCTGCAGGCCGAGCTGGCATTAGATGGTGCCCGTGCCCCTTGGTCGCCCTGCCCCGTCACACCCTGGGCCTTGGAAGGACTGGTGGCTCGTGGCCCCTGGGGATGCTGGCCCATTAAAGGGCACACCACTGGCCTTCTGCAGAAAGAAGGCTCCCTCGGGCTCCTTTCCCTGTTGGCCAGTGCACCCATGGCGATATCTAAGAAACTGACAGGCGGGTCTAACTTGCCTCCCGTGACTGCTCCCCTGCCAGCACACAAGACAGCCATGGGTCAAGCTATGCCCTCTAATATTATCATGGATCTTAACAAGATGCACGAGGACATGCTACCCAGGGGACGGGGTTCCTTCCTTAGCTGCTGGGACCACAGGACTTTGCCCCCTCTGTGATAGTGGCTTTAGTAGGGTCATACCCTCTTCCGGATGAACATTCCGAGGCATGTGGGGCTCCCAGTCACCTCCTTCCCACACTGCTTCCCTTTGGAGGCTAGTGGGACCCCCAGCATGGCAGGGACCCCTGACCCTGGGCAGTGATGGTGCACTTGGGCAGGGTGGGTGACAGTGATGACCAGAAGCGCACCCCCCCATTCGCCAACAGCCCTATCTCCCCCCACTTTCCCATGCATGGCTCACAGCGTTCTTCCATTCCCAGTGGATCCGTCAGTAAGCTGCCCACCCCCATGCCAATCCTGCCCCACAACACCCCGCCCTCAATTCCAGTCCCGTCTGGTGCTGGCCAGGCTCTTCACAGGCCTCGCCCCATACCAACCTGGCTCCGCCCATACCCCTGCCCCCCAGTGCCGGTCCTGGCGTGCTCTGACCCCGCCCCTAACTGTGGCCCTGTCTCTGTGCTGCTACCTCCCACGCCGGCCCCGCCCCCATATCAGCCCCTCCTCCAATGCCACCCTGTGCGCGCCCCGCCCCCATGGAGCCGAGTCCTTGTGCCCCTCACCGATGATCATGGAGAAGACACGAGCTGGCTCCTTGCCCGTGACCTTTCTGTACAGCTGCGGGTAGTAGAGCTCCAGGCTCTCGAGGAAGGCCACGTATCCCTTGTGGCCAGTCCGCTGCAAGATGTCCAGGAGCACGCCTGCGGGCCAGAGAGGTCATCTGGGGGCTGATATGGAGGCCTGGACAGGGGGCAGGCCTGGGCCGGTGGGGCCTAAAGCCCGGAGAGATAGAGGCTGGGTACTCAGGTGGGGTGTGCTCTGAGTAGTGGGGGCCCTAGGCTGCGTGGTTCCCTGCTTTCCACCCCTGCGACCCGGCCAGACCCAGGGCTCCCCCTCGCGTGATCTGGGTGGCAGCATGAGGCACCTGAAGTCTCCATCCTAGGCTAGGGACAAAGTTCTGCGTACCCCCCAGCCCCTCCAGGGGCCCCAGCAGTGGAGGGAGCTCTGCTGCCCTCTTCTTGGCAGCCTCAGCAGACAGGACAGGCCAGGGTGGGGAGTTTCCACCTCAGGACAGGTTGGGCTCCCTGGGTAAGCGCAAGACTGGGTGGGCCCTCCTGGTGTCAAGGGGCAGGGGGCAGGAGGCCTGGCAGGCACAAGGCAGCACTGACCCACTTTCCGCTTGCGGATGACCAGGTTGGGGTCGCTGAGCACCTGCTCCTCATCGTCAGGGTTCAGGACCTTGCACTGCCGCAGGTAGGGCGTGATGCGTGACGGGTCAATAACCGAGGTGAGTGTCACCCGGAAGCCCTCCAGGGTGCTCCAGCACTCGTCATCATTCTCGTAGTCTGACATGGCCTCGGCAGGCAGGTGCTGGGAGTGTCAGAGAGCAGCTGGGAGGGATGCCACATGTCGGCCCCACCCAGGCCTGCACCTGCTTCCTGAGCTATTGATCCACATGGGATGCTCAGCCCAGGGCATCTGAGAGAGATGCTTGACCTCAGAGACACAGTGACTGCTCTCCATCAGACCACCCGGCCGGCCCCCCTTCTACCTTTCCTGAGCCCCCCACCCTGCCCTTCTGCCACCCCATGGCACTCAAGATGAGCGCAAGGAAGACACCGTTGGGATCTAAGAGAACATTCTCCCCTGCACGGTGACCCTTCTCTGCCCCCCTCACGCCCCCAAAGCGCCCCAGAGCCTGAGGGATGGCCACCTCCCACCTGTGGAGGTGCATTTGTGGGAGAAGCTGTGTGTACCTGTGCCCAGGGCTGGGCCAGCAGCTGGTTGGCCCGTAAGCCTCCCACCCCTCAGCAACAGAGGGAGCTAGTCCATGCTGGACTTCCTCATTCCTGACGACTTGACACCCACTCCCCTCTCAGGCCCATGACCGCCTTCCTTCTGTTGGCCTGTGGTGATGCAACTGTGGCTGCCCAGCCCTGCGACAGCAGCCTGTGTCATTTGTGCTCTCTGGGAAGGGCAAAGGAGGCCTGCCCACAGGAGCTGTGTGTCTGTCACCCTCACCAGCCCAGGTACCCTGCACATGGCTGGTCAGGAATGCTGCTGTGGCATCTTCCTGGGTTCTTGGGTGTTGGGCATGGTGGATCCTGGGGCTTTCCTGACTTCCTTAAGGATGTCAGGCCAGCTCCCTCATGGGATTACCCATGCTGGGATCACCACTGCTGTCCCCTCCTACTAGTGCAGGAAGCCTCAGCCAGCTGAAAGCCACTGTCTCCAGGATGGGGCCAAGGTTGGGGCAGCCACGAAGCTGTGCTCCCCCCCCACCACTGCAGGACCCAGCCCCTCTCACAGCCCCTTCCGGGAAACACTGATTTCCAGCCCAAGGGAGTTGGGACATGGCTTCTGAAGACTTGGTTGCAGCAGGCTTGGTTTTTTGAGGAGTTTCTCAACTTCCTGCTGCACTTTGTCATCCTATTTAGCCCGGTGACAGATAATGGGCTGAATAAAAACAGCAGCATGGCCTGGTACAGTGGCTCATGCCTATGATCCCAGCACTTTGGGAGACCGAGGCAAGAGGATGGCTTGAGCTCAGGAGTTTGAGGCCAGCCTGGGCAACATAGCGAGACCTCATGTCTCAAAAAAATAAAAATAATAATAAAATTAGCCAGGCATGGTAGTGCGCACCTGTAGTCCCAGCTTCTCAGGAGGCTGAGGCAGGAAGATCAATGCTGGGAAAGGTCAATGCTGGGGAGGCCGTGAGTGTGCCACTGTACTCCAGCCTGGGTGACAGAGTGAGACTCCAACTCAAATAGATAAAAACAAAACAAAACCCAGCAATGCGGTGGGTGATTCTGGGAACACTGGGCCCTTCCCTGCCTTTCTAGCCTAAAGTCCATGTGGCTGTGCCTGACCAGGCCAACAACTCCGCTGAAATGAACAAGGGGACAGGGCAGAGTAGTGGAGGCTGCCTGGCTGACCTGTGGGAAGCCTAACGCTGCCCTGGGGTATTTGATCCAGGATCCTGAGCAAAGAACTGACAGTGGTCCTCCCCACCACCATTCTGAAAGGACCCCAGCCCCACCTACCTGGAGATCCTTCAGGGCCACCTGCACTGGATCGTCTGGGCCTCCAGGAGATGCTGCCGGCAGCCAGAGGGAGGGTGAGCCGCAAGGGACGCCGGGCACTTCCTGATGGGTTCTGGTTAACTCCACAGAGGCCCGGCCAGTCCTCCCACAGGCCCTGGTGGCCTGCTTTCTGATTCGCCCAGCCAGGGTGGCCCTGAGAGGCGGGGCAGAGGGAAGTGGAAGTCTTCTGCTCCCCAGATGAGATCTGCTTGGAGCCCATCCAGCCTGTCCTGGGCTGGGTGTCCTGGAGCTGCCCTGGCACCTGGCAAGGGATATGGGAGCAACCCCCTTCATACCCCAGCAACTGGCAGAGGCCAGACCTCCGTGCAGCCACTCTTTCCTGCACACGGGCTCTGGAGGGTTCTCCAGCAGGGGGTGCTCTGTGCCTGATGCCTCTGCCCTCAGCAGCTAATATGGGGACAGCAGTGCAGACTGGGGCCTGCTGGCTATGGCTAGGCCTGAGGGTGCAGGCAGGGGAGAGCTTGGCCCTGAGCCTGGGCTCACAACCTCATGGTGTGACTGACGGCCCACTGCATGGCATTCAGGAGGGCAGGCAGGGCTCAGGGGGCCTGTGGGCACGATCTAACTGGCACTCAGAAGTGTCCCAATATCTCCCACATAATCCTCATCCCTGGGGCACCCCCACTCTGCATCTGGGGACATCCCAGGGCCTCCCAGGCTGGTGTCAGAGGGCTGTCAGCAGGGTACAGGTTGGCCCATGTCCTCCCTGGACTGCGGGTTCTGGCAGCCACCCCTGGGGAGCTGGAGCCTCAACCAGCAGGCTTGGGGAATCCCAGGTCCCGCCTTGCCCGGTAGAGCTGGTTGAACCGAGGTACCACCCATCAGCTACAGGAAGGGGCTGCTGGGCTGGAAGGGCGGGAAGCTGGTGCCAACTCACTGGCCACCTCTCTTGCCTGGTTTCCAACGCTCAACTCGTGGGCTCTCCCCTGCCTCCAGCCTCTTCGGAGAGGATGGTGCCTGATGCCATGCTTCGAGGAGCTGGCAGTTCAGTTGGGCTCCGGGAGCCACCTTCCAGGGGCCCTGCCCCACCTGGGCCTCCCTGCTGGTGGCACATGCATGTGTGCACACTGGGGTCCTGCCATGGAGGAGACATGAGCTGGACCTGCACCTGGCTGGGAAGCTGGCCCCCAGGACCCCAGTGTGTTGAACGAGGGTAACGGTGTCCTCCTTGTGGTGTATCTCTAAGAATGGACAGCTGGGTTCGGTGGCTCAACCTGTAATCCTGTGCCTTTGGGAGGGTGAGGTGAGTGGATTGCCTGAGCCCGTGGGTTCG